TATATAATAAAATTAATATTATAATTTAATATAAATGCAGAAAAAATTTACCAATATAAAAATTAAGTATTTAATAACCTTAAAGATATACTTTAAATCTTAATTGATGGGTTTTTTAATATTTTTAGAACATTTTATTTATAATATTTCTGAAAATAATTAAATTATTAAAATTTATCAACATTCTTAAAATGTTGATAAGCAAAATATCAAGTTAGAAGAATCTGTGAAAGTTTATTTTTAATATTAGTGTCACAATTGCTAATTTAGGAATTACATAAATATTTTTTAGTAAAATTTATAAAAATTTTTAGAATTAAAGACTTAATTCTAATGAGACAAACTAAAATTAATATATATTTTGATTAAATAATAGTTTATAATTTGTGTATTAATGTTTGATGAATAAAGAAAAATAATTTGAGTTTAATAAATAAAAGAAATTTCAAGTTTAAATTTAAATAAAATTTTATCATATTTATTAGGCATTTAAAAGGTTATGATAAATTCCTTACCATTTAAGGGATAATATTTTGATCTTTGTATTATTGCTGTTCAAAGAAAGCGTAATTAACAGTAAATTAGTATCAGTAATAAATAACGTGCATTGTTGTTTATCTTCAAGAAATGATGAGAAAATTTCACGTGATTTTGAACACAACAAAATAAAAAAATAAGTTGATTCGGCAATTTAATAAATTTTGCTTCTAAACAACTAGATCGCAGGCTATTATTCTACAAAATACTGGTTAGGTACGTTACCTAAAAGCCTGCCACCGATTCGAACCAGTCTTTGTAGAATTTAATCACGAGAAAGAAAAATTTGATCTTTGAATGTTAATCATGTGGATCTACACTTAAACCGGTGATTTAGAATTTACATTTTTGGCAGCATTCACCATGTACTACAATGTAGAAAGTAAAATTAATGTTACAATTCATTAGATTGATACACAATTTTGTAATATCAGGAGAGAGTAAAACAAGTTAAAGGATTTAGATGAATAAAAAAGATGTAAATGATCTATTACAGTTCTATTTTTTGATTGACACTTAAAAGATTTGCGTCGATCACCATTTCGTCCGCCAAATGGATTATGATATTAGTAAAAAGTTCAAAAGAAAAAAAATTTTGATATTCTAAAAAGTATATTCTTTTCTCATTGTTTTAACTTGCGTATATGTATGTCTTACAAGTAAGTACATATTGTGGAACTTACGCACAACGAAGGATACTAATTTCGTTTTCCGGACTGTTCGGCGGATTTGGTTACAAATACCTTAATCGAAAATACTTAATGTTCTTGGCCTGCTCTTGGATTGAAAAAAAACAAAATCGACTTGAATGTCAATATGTCAACTATCTTACCCAATACGATAAAGCATCATGTCAAAAATTGTGATTACATAACCAATTTTAAATGGATCCAGCACGAAAATTTATTCAACTATTGTATAAATTTTAATTGGTTAGGCACAAGATTTATACAAAATGGACCATCAATATAATAATTGAAGAGTTTGGAATAGTAAAATGCCTCCTATAATTCGGAAGCTCGATCCTAATTAACATGGTCATCTTTAGATATATGGGTTGGTGGAAGTTATTTATTCACTGAATGATTAATTTATAAACAAATGAGAATATTTTTCAAGTTGTTAATTGAAATAAGAAAAAGACACGAAAAAAATATTACCTCATTTGATGAAAAATATCCAATTTTTTACAAAATGTCAAAAAATTTGCTGGAACGACATCAATTGATCAATAAATTTATGACGCATAATTGATTTTACATCGAAATGTCTCAACACAATTTCAGAAAAAAGTATCTTTGGTAAGATCTCTTAATCTTGTCAATTTAGAATATGATTATTATTCTTGGTAAAGATTTATTTATGTAAGAAAGTGTGTTTAAAAGTGGTACGCTAGTCGAGAAATATTTAGTGATTTCTGGATTAAACAATATTGGCAAAGCTTAATGACTATCAATCGCGTAACGCAGAAATTAACAAATCAAAAAAAAAAATAAAAATAAAAAGACATAACTTTCAGATATTTACATATATATTAATTTTATTCAAAATCCTTAATTTTATTGAAGATAGATAGATCATTACGATTAATTTTGATCAATTTAATAAAAATAAGTTCTTAGCCATTGGATAAAAGAGAAATATTTGCATAATTTATCAAAATTGTGATACATTCAATAACTTTACTGAGTGATATAAAAATGGAGATAACAAATCAATCATCGTGCCATAATAAATATCGTAACATTTAAATATTGGGCATGGACTCAGCATTGATTCTCATCATCTCATAACGTGAAGAACAAATTATGTTCCTAATTACACAACATGAATATTCGCTTGCCTTTATCTTTTCATAAAGATAACAAAACTTATAAAAATATATATATTAAATGTTTCGCGTGGAAATTCAAAGGCGTAGCACACATGACATTATATGTTAAACATTGACGATCGTAATCTCGTGTAACGAAATCACATTCTAAAATTTCTTCATTAAAAAAGCTGATAAGGAATGGAAATTTCACGCATTATCTTGCCGAATACTAATCATGACTCAGTTCTTTCTCGTGTGAAATGAATGGATGCGAATGCATGGTTTTGCATCTTTGTATAAACATTAGATTTCTTTGTGAGAACAGATTATCATATCTATTCAGTTGTTCTGTTTATTTTGTATATGAAAGATTTACAAAGATATACAATGTTGAACAAATATTTTTTTTTTTTTTTTTTTTTTTTTTTTTTACAATAAATCTGATAATGTTGATAATGTGATTACTGATTACTGTAAGATAACTTCGGATTATTTTCTTATCACTACGTACAGAAGATTTATCCTAACTTGGGGTTTAGTATTTTATCAGATCGTGCATTTACATGTATATTACTTTTTTTTTCTTCCAGTTTCTTGTATTTTAAATCATATTAATTGATACAAATTACATGGTGAGTTGGATCTTTTGCAGAATTGATGATAAATTGTCGGATCCAACAATTTATATATATAAAACCAAATTTTCTCTCGCCAAATGAACGCGGTTTCGATTGGATAAAGATTTTCAAATATATAAATGTCACATGACAATCAAGTAACAATCAACGTGATCGTCTATCTCAACCCCAACGGAAAAAATGGCTTATCGTGACGAATAATATTCTTATCTTTATGATAATCAAAAGACCGACTATGGTCTATCAGCCGAAACCAAAAGAAGGACAACGAACAATATAATAAAAATACTTGGTTTCAATAAATATTGTCCTACTTTTCGAAGCAATTCATGACAATCGGAAAAGAGAATATTCTTTCAAATATCACCATTTTAATTTAGCTACATATTTATACATTATCTCATAATATTTACATAATCAACCTGTCAATTTTTGGAGTTTGGTATCACTTAATAAATAATCTATTTATTTCCTTATCTACCTTGGTATCTATTTTAAAAAAATTTAAATATGGAATAGTTCAAGTAAATGGAATTTCTCGGATTTCGTTATCAAAACTAATAAATACTTATTTTGGAAGGATCAAAAAAATAAAAGAATTTTTATATTTTTTTTTCGTGTCATAAACAAGGTAAATCTGGTTACAAATAAATAAACAAAAAATCTTGTGTGATTTCCTTATCAATAGATAGGTATAAAATGCTTATCTATCCCATTAAAGGTTTGTGGTGACAGACATATGCAATTGGCATATGTAGGTTTGTAGATAAACGTTTGATCATAACCATTTTGGGAACACCTTTTTGAAAAAAAAGTCGGTCTTTTATTAAATTTCAGAGATAAGAAAAAAGTTTGAGATAAGATTATGACATTATGACAATGGATAGAATAAAATGTCTTGAGTTACACAATGCCCTTGAGGTTCAAAGAGAAAAATGAGTTATACTTTTTACCGTAAGATTTTGCGCAATTTGCCGAAGTTCTGCATTTTATCGAGCGAAGCGTAACATAATTTTCGCTACGCTTATTACGTCATTAAAGATCGAACTCCAAAGATTATATAATCAAATTTAAGCTGATCAATCATATTGTGCTACGAGCATTAACGCGACGCACGTATAGTTTTGCGGATTTAACGAAGTCGTCTCCCCCTCCCTCAATCGAACATTTTAAAAATCATTGAAAATCATTTTAAAAACTTCATTTTTCCAGCACGGAATAATCCAGTAAAATAAACATATATGGTCGAGTCCTGAGTTATATCTTATCAATTCATAATCATGATGCTGATAAAACATGATCATTTTACACATGCATCAGATAACGTTATGGTCCTTCGATCCCCCACGGGTATTTGGTACCTTTTTTGAACGTTATTGAATCATTATCTTATCTTTTTATTTGATTTTAATAAATTTGTTATCTTTGAATTCTGATCCTTTTACATTATCTAAATTGTTTGACTCAGAGAAAATCGCGTGTTAATAATGGTCTCGTTATATTAGTATTATTATCATCGTTTTAAAAGAGACTTTAAGTAAAACATAAAATTAACGGTTTACTATACGATAAATTCATATGCTTTCAATTTAAATGCATCATAAATTGGATTTTATTTTTATTGAAAAACCAAGTCGAATTTCTCACGGTATCTACGCTAATATTATCTAGGTTTATTTCAATAAACACAACAACTTTGTATCACAATAAATATTTTTAATAATGAATTTTTAATTAACCGGTTTTAATCCGTGGGAAACTTCTCACATGACAATAAAATGGTTGATTACTTTTCGAAAATTGTTTTTAATTTATTTTATTTATATATTTCTTAACTTTAAAAATTTTTTTTTTTTTTTTTTGAAACTTACAAATTTTTTTTTTTTCTAATAAAATAATTATGTATAAGGGGTTTTATTATTGTACAAATGATTTTTTTTTCGTTGATTATACAAAAAAAAATTGTGTTTAATGACGAAAAGGTTAATAACAATAGTCCGTTGTAAAGTTTATTTTCGTCTAATTTCAAGTAACCTGCGTCCATCAATTTTCATCAAGAAGGTCATAAGTGACACTCCTATGGTCACACCTCCCAAGACCAAAAATGCGGCAGGTGTATCATGAGAATAAGCTTTGAATACTCCAGTAAATATTAAACCACCAACATTTCCACCAGCTCCAACCAATCCCGATATGGCTCCTACAATGGTCGGGTCAACAAATGGTACAATTCCAAAAACTGAACCGCAACAAGCCTAAAAGTAATAATTAGAAAGTTTTAGTTTTAGTCGAAAAAGATTTTTTTTTTAAAAAAAAAAAGGAAGTATCATCGAAAGTTGAATTTAAATTAATAAAATAAATACCTGAGTGAAATAACTGAAGATAATCAATATGACAATTGATTGATTCAAACCAGTTAAAGAAAAGTGGAAAATGATCAAGAATATTCCGTTTAAGAAAATCATTATGAAATGAACGAGTAATCGACCTCGAATACCCGCTTTTTGGTAAAAGTAATCGGACAAGAAACCTCCAGTGGCGCGAGAGAAAAGGTTCATCAAACCAAATAATGATCCAATTAAACCAGCATTTTTCAGTGAGAGTGCAAAATGTTCATAAAAGAAATATCCAATAACATTGTCGACCGCAAGTTCAATACCGAAAGAACAAGCGTACATAAACATTAAGATTATTACATTTGGATTTTTAAGCGCTAAGAGAAACGTTCCAATAGTTGGATTTTTCACAGCGGTACGCGCTGGGACGTTGGTTTCCGAATCTATGCTTGCGGCATCACTTTTTTCAACTTTAGTTGCGTTATTTTTTTCCGAATTAGCATTATAAACTTCATCAGCGTCATATTTAGAGGTTTGTTCAATGGAAAGACCGCGTCGAGACCAGTCCCCTTGAGGACAATCGTCGGAAAATAATAAGCAGCCTAATCCTACAACGAGACAAAGTCCGGCTGGAACAACCATAGCAATTCTCCAAGCGTTGTGTTCACTCACCCCTCTACTTAAAATTCCTTCAAGTACAATAGGCATGATAACATAAGTTACTCCGGCTCCCATATTTCCCCATCCTCCTACCAAAGCATTTGCACTTCCAACCACGGAACTGCTAAACATTTGGGTAGTCCAAAATTGACATGGTACAAAAGTGGCCCCAATGACACCAATGAAGAATCGGAGTGTAATGAATTCAGAAGCATTATTGGCTAGACCGCTAAGACCGACTGGAATGGCACCGACCACGAGTAAAGCTGCCATTATTCGTTTAGGTCCAAAACGATCACATAATGGTCCAATGATCACACGAAAGATAATTGTAGATGCGATTGAGGTGAGATTACTATCACCAACTTCTGCTACCGTTAGGTTGAGATCTTTCTTGATTGCGGGCATTATTGGTGCAATAGCGAACCAGCCTGTAAAAGCGGTTAGGAAAGAAAGCCATGAAAAATGAAATGCTCTCATGTAAGGTTTACCAATGCTAAAAATATTGATTGCATTTGCTTTTTGGGTGACGGGATCAATGGGAAGTGGTCTCGCAAATAATTTAACCATTATAATAAAATTTTTTTTTGATGAGAAAATGATATTTAAAGATTATTTTTGATTTTTTTTTTTTTTTCGTTAAAAATTTTTTTTTTTTGTTCTTAAATATAAAGGACTTTGCTTTTCTTTTCAAGAGTAAAAGCAAAAGCGATTTTTAAAATGATGCCGACAACAGCCTCTTTTAAAGTTTTTTTTTGAATTACGGCAAAAAAAAAAATATAGATTTAAACAACATCATGTATAAAAAAAAATTTTTTAATTTATAATTGTGTAAATATTACATTTTTCCTTTCATGGATATATATAAGATATTTTTTTTACATTACTTGTTTCGATTGGAACCAATCAAAGCGATCTGATTGCATTATAGAGGAAGAAACAAAAAAAAAAAAAAAAAAATCTTATCTTGCGCCGCCTCCGAGATTTTAGGGGTAAAACACACAGATTTTAACAAATTTGGAAAAAGAAATCGAACACTACATAAAAACTTTAAAATGGTAAGAACAATATTATGTTTGATGATGAAAATTTTTTTTGAAATTGTCACTTCTTTATCATGTTTTATCACTAGCCGGGATACCCCGTTACTTTTAACTGTGGTACAACAATGCCGCAGAATCATTTCGAAAAAATGACATCTCATAAGTCGACTCGTTTTCATGAATCTCTTTGAAGTTTGAATTCAATAAGTTCAAGAAAAATGTAAACAAATATGTCGTGTCTTTTTTTTATATCCCATCTTAAACATCTTGCACAATAAATTAAAGACATTTATTCGTTCATATTTTAAGTTCAAGGATGAAATTATTCTTTCGACCACGCGAGAGATTGAACTTTGACGTGAGAAAAACATTTTATTTTATTTTTTTTTTTATAAAAAAACATACAGATGGCCTTTTATGTCTTCCATGTTGCTTTTATATATTTAATTGAAGGATACTCAAATTCAAAAGATAACGCGGTCAATTACTAAAATTGTGAAAATTATGTTATCTGTGTTAATTTTGACACGCGTCTTTTGGTATCTGACCCCCATGGGTTCTTAATTGTAACCAAAAGATTAGGACAAATAATAATCTGAAAGTAACACGCAATGCTTATCTTCGATGATAAAAAGAAAAATGGAAAATGGTGAGGAAAAAAAGGTTTCCAAAGAAACGTGATAAGAATAGAAATGTCTTATCAAAAATAAATTTTTTCCGTTTATGGATTATCATATGCAATCACCGGAATGCTGATTTGTTTTGGCAATGAGAACTTCAATGAATGTTTTTTTTTAATAGCCCTCAATCTAATTAAGTAATTCCTATAAATGTTACATGCTCATGAAAAATTTTGACGGTTTGCGCCATTTTTACATCTGCATAATAAATAAAAACACTTGTGCAACGATATCATGTCAATTGATATTAATTCGTTAAATGCAAGATAGGAAGGTAATAGCATATCACAACGATATCTGTCCGAATATTTCCGCCCTCAATAATTAATCACGAGTCATTTGTATATTATTTTATCTTTAAAATCTGAAAATCAATCATTTCAATAAAGAGGAAAAAAAATTTTTTGTATCATGTAAATGCTAAAAATGATATATTGTTGTATCGATGAATTTTTTTTTTATTTTTTAAAAAAAAAAAAATCCTATCAGCTGATCAGCTGAAAAAAGAAAAAATTGTTTAAAATTCGTCTCAGGTTGATCGCCACATTTCCAAATTTATTGGCTCTGATGGCTCTGATGGTCTAACCACATTTGATTATCTTTTTGCTGCAAGACGCGTTTTTACTCAAAATAATTAGATCCTTTTGGTATCAAATTTAAAGACTTTAATCAGATAGTTGTTATCTGTTCGAAAAATATTTATTTTTCTGCTAGATAATATAATTTCTGTAGATAAGATAAGAAATCAGCGCTGATCGATAACAGCATTCATATAATTTTTTGTAAAGTTGTTATTTTTTAATTCCTATAAAAGCAAACCCGTTCATAAAATGATTTTATTAAAAAAAATTGTTTTTGGATCATCATTTATCGTCAAAATTGTCTTTTTACATTTACGATGACTTCCGTTGCAAAAACAGAAAATCCCTTTCAATATCCTAAAGAAAAAATTTCCTATGATACGACTTTATCACAAATTCAACAATCATTAATAAAAGAACAACAAAAGAAAGAATCGGCTCTAGTATCGAAGAGAGATGTTAAAGCTAACGAAATAAGTATTGATCCTCTAGATGTTGGAACTCCTGATGATTGGATTCCAAGGCATCCAGAACTAATACGATTAACAGGAAAACATCCTTTTAATAGCGAACCACCCTTACCGTTATTAATGGAGAAAGGATTCATAACTCCTACTCCTTTGCATTACGTGAGAAATCATGGTTCGGTTCCAAAAATCGATTGGGATACCCATCGATTAATCGTTGACGGGTAAGCTTGTTTTTTTAATTGATGGCACGTTACATTTAGAATTTCGTGTAACAATTATTTATTTTTAGGCTTGTAACAAAACCTCTCAATTTATCCATGAATGAGATTGTAAAGTTACCATATCGTGAATTTCCCATTACATTGGTTTGTGCCGGGAATCGTCGTAAGGAACAAAACATGGTTAAAAAATCAATAGGATTTAATTGGGGTTCATGCGCTTTAAGTACTGCAGTTTGGCGAGGTGTTTCACTACGACACATTTTGAAGATGGCAGGATGTAGTCTTGATATTGATTATGAAGAACCTCGTCACGTTTGCTTTGTCGGAGCCGATAAATTACCAGATGGTTACTATGGTACGAGTTTACCTTTAGAATGGTCAATGAATGATGCCAAGGATGTTCTCTTGGCCTACGAAATGAATGGTGAAAGGTTAACACCCGATCACGGATATCCAATTCGCGTTATAATACCGGGAGTCATCGGAGGTCGTATGGTTAAGTGGCTCACAAAAATCACCGTGTCTAATAAGGAATCTGATAATTATTATCATTATCACGATAATCGGGTTTTGCCACCAAATGTTGATTTTGAACGCGCCACTAAAGAAAAATGGTGGTACGTTCCCGATTATATTATCAATGAATACAATGTCAATTCTGTCATATCCTCTCCAGCACACGACGAACATATCCCTTTATCAAGTTTTGTTAGTAATGCTGAATATACACTCAAGGGTTACGCTTATACAGGAGGAGGTCGTAAGGTCATTCGCGTGGAGATTACTTTAGACGATGGAAAAACTTGGTTACTTGCCAATTTAGATTTCCCAGAAACCAAACATCCTGATGTTTTGAAACGCCCACATAATCCGATACGTCAATATTGGTGTTGGAGTTTCTGGTCATTAAATGTTCCGATTTACTCATTAATTCGTTGTCCAGAGATTAAAGTTAGAGCGTGGGATTCCGCACAAAACACACAACCGGAAAACCTTACTTGGAACGTCATGGGAATGATGAATAACTGTCATTTTAAAGTAAAGATCAGCACCGTAACCTATGGGAAAGAAGTTGCCTTGAGATTTGATCATCCAACTCGAGCTGGTAATGACCCAGGCGGTTGGATGGTGAAACAAGAACAACCGGCTACTGCGGCTGAACTAGTAAATGTAACTAATAGAATATCAAAAAATCCTATTACAATGGAGCAAGTGGGAAAAAACGATAACGAAAAATCTTGTTGGATCGTGATTGAAAAGAAGGTTTATGATTGTACAAAGTTCCTTGATGATCATCCCGGAGGTAAATAATGAGTTTTTATTTGTTATTTTTTTTTTTAAAAAAAAAAAAATTTAATAATAATAATAATAATTCCTTGTAGGTGCTGACAGTATCTTAATTAATGCCGGTACGGATTGTACAGATGAATTCTATGCAATTCATTCTGATAAGGCAAAAAAAATGTTGGATGAATATTATATTGGTGATTTGGTAGAAGAAGGCTCCGATGCATCATCAGTTTCGAATCCATCGATCAAAATACCAAAATCGATAATAAATCCACCGCAATCAACCGCGCAAGTTAATGGAGATTCTCTTTTAGCATTAAATCCTAAAGTATGGTTCTCGTGTCCACTTATAAAAAAGGAGGTTATAAGTCACGATACTCGTATATTCCGTTTCGCTCTTCAATCAGATAAACATTCACTTGGCCTTCCAGCAGGAAATCATATGTTCATTCGAGCTTCAATAAATAATCAAGCTATTATACGCGCATACACACCTGTCACAACTCCATATGCCCCACCAGGTTACTTTGACCTTTTAATCAAAGTATATTTTAAGAATGTACATCCCAAGTCTCCTAACGGAGGACTTATGACACAACATCTTGAATCACTAAATATTGGCGACAGTATTGATGTAAAAGGTCCGCTTGGGTCTTTTATCTATTTTGGTCGTGGTCAATATCAAGTAAAGAATGGAACAAGCTCATCTTTACATAAATGCAAGCGAATAGGAATGATAGCGGGAGGTTCTGGTATAACTCCAATGTATCAAATAATTCAATCAGTTTTAAATGATTCCGAGGATCTTTTAGAGTTATCTTTATTATATGCGAATCGGACGGAGAATGATATTTTATTAAGAGATGAATTAGATGAACTTGCTAAATGTAATCAACGATTTAAGGTTTATTATACGCTAGACATGCCCCCAAAGAATTGGCAACTCGGATCTGGATTCGTCACGGAAGAGATGGTTCGAGAAAATCTTCCGCTCCCATCATCAAATTCACAAACCATTGTATTGATGTGTGGACCACCTCCTATGTTAGAATTCGCTTGTATTCCAAATTTAAAGAAAATAGGGTTTAAAGAAAATGAATATTTCAAATTCTAAGATTTAACATTTAATATTTTATTGTTTTGTTTTATTTTCGATATTTGTTCAAAAATCTAATCATTTTATCACAAAAAACAAACAAAAAAAAAAAATATTGTATAATAGAAAAATCCATTTTTTTTTTTCATGATCTGCATATTAATAATAATTGAACTAAAAATAATAATAAATAAGTAAATATATACATCAGTTATCAAAATGTTCGTCAAAAATTTCTAAAAGAATTTCAGGGGAATGTTGTTTATTTTTTAAGATCAATTTAAATTCTTCAGACTTTCTGACTTCTTTAAAATGTCTTGCCATAAATTTTAAGACGGGTCCCTTTAAATCTTCGTAAATAGGAACTAGACCGAACAAAATTTCAGAAACGTTTGAAATCTCTAATTCATCATAAATCCTAAATTTTGCTCTATCTCGAAGATCTAATAAAAGATATTTATCTGCCAGACGAAACAATTTTATGGTTATTGAATCATTATCTTGATTCACCCATTTAACCTCATTCGTATAAAGATATTCCATTATTATTGAAAATATATCTGGATCCTCGGAAAATTGGATTCTATATTTAACTTTATGCTCAGGACTATCTTCTAAATGAATTTCATTTACGTACTCAATTTTATTAGCAATTTCAGTTTCTGACCATTTGCCTGAAAAAATTTTTGCAAAATATTCAGACCTTTTAGAAAGGATTGAACTACAGACGTAAAATTTTGCCCCTCTTACATTAAATTCTACGTCAGCTGATTGATAATCAGATAATTGGTCCTTCCATGCTTCTATAAGGTCTGGCGGTGTAGTGTATTTATGAACTTTTCTCTTATTATTTCCTTCAAAATCATTGAATATAACTCCAATTTCTAATTCTCCATTTAAAAATTTTGTTCTATCGAGGTTTGAGATTCCAAAACCTAAAAATCAACAATATTATAAATAATAGAATAAATTTTCTTATGCGCATTTATTATTTATCTCAACTAGCATACATTACCATCTTGAATATGAGCATCAGGAGGCACAGTAAATGTTTCAGAATATGCTTCCTTTAGCTCATTTTCCTTAATTTCATTTACATATAACGTGAACTCTAATTTTGAACGTTCTCCCCATACAATTTCGTCCGGGCCTATAACCGGCGAAAGAAAGAATGAAAAGTCTTCAGGAAGAAACGCTAATTGCCAAAACATATTATCTCTTGTGCTAAAAACAGGACTGAAAAAATTCTCGTTTATTTCAAGAGAATTAGGAATATTTATTTGGTATTTAAACTTGGACATTTTTGAGTTTTCCCTTACACACCAAAGATGAGAGAATTTATTTTTAATTTTCGCAATAAATCTTATAATTAAATCAAACAAATTTGCCAAATTTCGGCCTGCATTAATAGTGACCAAAAAAATATTTGTCACGTGATCCATTTTTCATTTCATGTTAGTTTTTAATAATTATACGTTTAAAAATAACTAAAATATTAAAAGTAATAAAAATTATATAAAGTTAATGCATTTAATAGTAAAATATTTGATTGAAAACTTCTAATCCAAATGATTTTTATTAGAAAATTATGCTTTCAACCTTCTAAAAGTACTTTTAATATAAGGTTATAAGGTTATTATATAGGGATTTATCTAATTGTTTAAATAGTAAATGTAAAGCTTGATAAAATTATATTAAAATCTGCAAAATTTAAAAAAGGTAAAACTATATTAAAAGTTTTTAATTTTTTTAATATAATTTTATAATCTGGTTTTAATAACAAATAATTTAATGATTTGCTAGAAAAATAGGACTTTGAGAATTTTTTAAAAAATTCTCAAAGCCTTATTTTTTCTAGCAAATCTTCTATATATTAAGAGTAAAACTTAAAACATGTTAATATAAATCAAAAATGTTATACATAATTTATAATAATTAATTCAATTTAATCAATTAAAAAATGCATTTATTTTATTGATAATCATTTTATTAACAATCATTTTACTAACAAATAATTTACCAATAAGATCATTTTACTAACAATTATTTTAATAATGATTATTTTACAATTACAATCATATTACTGACACATTCATATCACTAACAGTTTATTTTTAATAAACATTTGTTTATATTATAAATTAATAATAAATTAATACAAAAAATTGAATTAAATATAATAATTAATAAAAAATAAGAACTTTTGTTTATTTGTTTTATGAATATTTTTATCAATTTAATAATCATATGATGCTATAACATACAGCTCATAATCTTTTATTTAGATATTTGCAGCAAAGCTTAGTTTTTTATTTAATTTTATACATTTTATTAATATTATACATTAAATAGATTAATAATACAATGAATAAAAATATCAAATAATCAAATTCATTGAAAATGTAAAAGTATGTATTTACTTTATATTATTAATTTAATTAAAATTAATTTTTTTTAATGATGATAAAATAATTTCTGACAAAACAATACTGTCGATGAATAATCCTATCAGTAAAATAATCATTAGTAAATCATTTGTCAGTAAAATGATTGTCAATAAAATAATCATTAGTAAAATAAACTAGTTTCAATTTTAATTAATATTTAAATAAAATTTTTTATTTTTCGTTACATTCCAATTATTTTTATAACATTATCAAACTATGTATAATTAATTTATAAATATATCTAAAGATATTTGATTTTATTAAAATATTTGAAAATAGATTTATACATTATATTTAACATGAATATCCATTTTAATTTATATTTTTTTTAATATTGGGTAAAGATAGTAAAGATACCTCCCTAAATTATTTTTAGAAAATTTGAGTTTCAAGATTTTAAGATTAAACTATTTACTTATAATAAATATTTTTATCTAATAAGTTTTTCTAAATTCAATTAAATTTCATCAAGCTTCAGATATAAAAAAAGTCATTTTAAAGATTTTGAAAAAATTTCTAAATTTTTAAAATTTTATTATACAAACTTAAATTTTAAAATAAGTTTATACTCTTTTAAAGCTAAAATTCCTTTCAGATTATCAAAATTTTAAGCTAATATCCCTTAAACTATATAGCAGGCAAATTTGCTTGTAAAATTAAAAAAAATAATAATTTCTTTAATTTCTTTATAAAATGTTAAATATTAATTTTAGTAATATTATTACTATGTAAAAAATATAGTTTAATATATATTTTATTCAAAAAATTTATTATAATAAATTTTTAAAAATTATTTACATTATTATTAATTAAAATTATAAAATTTCTTAATGAGAATTATAAAATTATAATAATAAAAGTTTTTCTTTATAAGTAATTTTATAATATTCTTTTATGATTAATATAGTTAAAGTAAATTCTAAAAAGTTTCTATCCTTTTAATAATAAAAAATTGCAAACAAATTTGCCTGCAATTTTAAACAATTTTAATTAATTTTTAACATAAATTTTTATTATTAAACCTATCGATTAAGGAACTTAATTTGTAATGACCAAAGATCATTTAAATTATAAAATTTGTAGAAGTTTAACAGGACATTCAGAAGTGTGATGGCAAACTTGTTTTTCTTTTTAAAAAGTGAATGAATAGAAACAAAAAATTTATCACATTCGAATTTGGATAAGAAAGTAAGTTGAATACAGAGGATATAGAACCATATTAATAATATACGTGAATTGTTTATCAGTGATAGGTTTGTATTTTTAACATAGGTGGCTGAACGTTTATGATTAATCAGACTTCTAGAAATCTCATAGAGTCCTGTTCAGCACACAAATTGACATAAGATGAACCAAATGTAGATTAACTGATTGACTAGAAAAATATTTCATAGACAAAAGTTTTGATTTTTGTTTGTTGAGAGCAGAATGTGTAAAGTTATAAAACTCATCCGCAACTTCTACATAAATTCCAGGTCTTATTGATTTTCAGCAATCCAATTTGTATCATCCATAAAAGCAAAGAAGGATACTTGAGCAGTTAAATGATTAGAGAATAAAGTGGTGAGATCGGAGATCCATCAATGTTCAATAGTGTATCCTTTGTTAAGATTAGTGACTTCACATAGGAGAGGATCAAGATAGATGCACCATAAAAGCGGAAATATAACTTCACCTTAGTCTATACTGATTTTTACATTGTAATAATCCGATATGCCATGAGCAGTGAATACAGCATTTTTTGTGCAGTGAAGAGGTTGATCAATAAGTCTACCACATAGTTAGGTACTTTTATACAGTGTAATGCCTTATGGAGAAAGAATAGGTCGACATTTTGAAAGATCTTGAAGTAAAATCCAAATTTCCTTATTATTTTCGTTTGCATCCTCGAGTAGCATGTTGAAAATTTTGATGGGAGTTTTCATTGAGCCTCCTAGCAATCCAGCAAAATTGTAATCTCGAAGGATAAAGTGTTTGGCGATAATATTTGAAAGACAGTTTGTGAGAATTTTAACGAATCATTTTCTCGCAGTTTTAAGTAGTATAATAGGACGAGTCTTTATAATATCACATTCCTAAGCTATAGGTTTAGGAATTGGAAAGATATGCGTAATTTTCCATTCATTAAGGATGTCACCAATAGTAAAATACATGCAAATAAGTTGCCAAAGAAGATATTGTAATTTGTCACTAAGATGAGTCAGCATTTCATTAGTAATGCCAGATAGACCTGCAGCCTTATCCTTGGGTAGTTGTTGAAGAATAGCTAGCCATTCGTCAATTGTAGGGGTTGAAGAAGATTGTCATAATAACTACTGTTAATGTAATCTTTTGAAAGGTACTGATTTGTCTAACGTGAAGGCAAATATTGAGATGGAGTATCAGGTAAAGTGAAATTTTGAAAATGATGTTGAGTAGCCTCTTTGATTTCACTAGAATCAATGGTGAATCTTTTAGTGCTATTCACGGAATTATTAATTAACAAACAATCTAAAATAATGGTATTTTTCTTCTGGTTAAGAATCGAATCAATAATGGAAGACGTATTGTTGAGCAGATGGTCATAATGTTTATCCACTAATTGTTTAATAGCTGAAACTTTGAGGTTGTGTGAATCTATTTTTGCCAGTTCGAAAGCAATTTATAGGTAACAAGAAGGTCACGTTTGACATCTAGGACAGAGTGTTCAGTAAAAATTAAAGGGAAGAAGATAGGTGCAAGCTTTATTTTTTCAATAATTTTCGATATGATAGATACTTCAGTCCACATTGAACCTTTAGGCCATTTTTTATTTTAGATCAGCTTGAGTTTGAAGAACAAAAGTATCGAGCGAACTTTTCTCACAGCTAAATATGAATTCACGATTCATATAGCTGTTTATGATCACTTTTATGAGAAATCTAACATTGCGGGATGATATATTTATTCGTAAACAAATAGCAGTTTTAATGTTGACCTATAAGGAATTCATGTTGTGACGTATCAGCGAAAGGTTTTTGAGTCAGTCAAAATTATGACAGTTATAGTGAAAGTCAATATAATCTGTAAAATCAGCCCATTTAGACGAATTCATTAAGCGTAGATTAGATACTTATCATTTGTCTTAGATAAGACGAGATTTGGCCAGTAAATGTCTCTGTATATCTGCAAAAAAGGCAAAAATGATTTTGTGATCTGATGAATACAAATCAGAATGGTCTAGAAATAAGAACAAAAAGTCTGAGACACAGTTAGGTAAAGCAAAAATGGTATCAATGCGTGAACTTCAATTGTTAACACAAAATGTGGGTTTGGTATATCATGACATAAGTCATAAAAGTCTAGAAAATTAAGCGCGAAAATTTGATCATAAAAATTGAATCTTCAATGAAAGGGGGAGCTAAGATTAGAATTAGATCAGTAAGTGTTGAGGTTTACATTAAAATCACCTAAGAGAATAGTTTTAAAGTCAGACTTTAGACCATCTTTGATGTGTTTAATAATCATTTTGTGTAGATCAGTCTATCTTTCTTCGTTTCAGATATTAATGAAACGTGTAGGTAGATATAGAAGATTCTTAATTTGATATAGCTAGTAAAATATAAATCAATGTAGATATCTGTCATCATCCAGAAAGATTCGTTAGATGTAAATGGCCCAGAAACGTTTAATAAGGAAACCAATACCAGCATGAATATTAATATGAGAGCTCCAAAAAGCACAGAAATTAGGATCGTGTAAATATCAATAAAATTGGTCAGATTTGTGACGGGTTTCAGTAAGGCCAATAAAGTCATTATTAAAATCTATGAAAATATCATTAATCGAAGTATTTTTTATAACACATTATAATGAATTAATATTATGGGTAGCAA